CTATTGTAAAGCTGATGGTTATAACCAACTCTAACGGTGACAGCTAAGGCAACACACTTGACAGCTAATATACAATTAGTTCTAACATTTTCCCTCAATTCAAACTACCCTTTTGATCTGTCTACAACATTTAAATATCTCTTAAATTCTAAGAATGTATTCTGTGGCAGTGCCTTTGTTAACCCATGAGCAACTTGTTCTTGACTCGGTATATGTTGCACTAAGAATTCTTTCTTTATTGCCTTTTCTCTTACATGAAGATCTAATTCTTGTTCTTGACTCGGTATATGTTGCACTAAGAATTCTTTCTTTATTGCCTTTTCTCTTACAAAATGAAGATCTAATTCAATGTGTTTTGTTCGCGCATGAAATATGGGATTTGCTGTCATCATAACTGTGCTAAGATTGTCACAAAGTACTCTTGCTAGTCCTGATGTGGCAACACACAATTCTTGTAGAAGAGATTTAATCCAAAGAACTTCAGATACTGCAGAAGCCATGCTTCTATACTCAGCCTTGGTACTGGACCTGGAAACAGTCACTTACTTTTTGGATGACCAGGCTACAAGGTTTTGTCCAAAGTAGACACAGACGCCACTAGTACTACACCTATCATTGCAGTTCGAGGCCCAATCAGCATCATAATAGGCACTAATGGTTCTGCTGGATGAAGGACAAAGTACAATCCCATGATGTAGAGCTCCTACCAAATACCGAAGTATTCTTTTGACAGCCTTCCAGTGAGTCACCAAAGGATTTTGCATGAATTGACACACCTTGTTTACAGCAAAGCTAATTTCTGGTCGAGTAATGGTTGCATATTGCAAAGCCCCAACAATAGATCTATAAAGTTGAGGATGTATCATAGCATCATATCCTTCCTTGTATAGTTTAAGACCTACAGTCATAGGGGTAACAACACTCTTAGCATCAATCATGTTAGCTCTAGACAGAATGTCTTTGAGATATTTTGTTTGAACAAGATGTAGAGAGCCATCAGGAGACTTCTTTACTTCAATACCAAGAAAGTAGCTCAAGGAGCCTAGATCTTTAAGAGAGAATTCACAATCAAGCTTTGTAATAAGCTGCATAATACTAGACTTGGAGGATCCTGTGATGATTATATCATCAACATAGACAAGAACAAAAATAAGCTCACTGGAAGTGGCTCGAATGAATAGAAAAGGGTCACATCTACTGCTTATAAAACCATATTTCAGCAGAGCAGAACCAAGCCTTTCAAACCAAGCCCTTGGAGCTTGTTTTAAACCATAAAGAGCTTTATTTAACTTGCAAACCAGAGTTTTATCCTTACTTTCAAATCCTGGAGGTTGAACCATATAAACTTCCTCCTTGAGATATCCATTCAAAAAGGCATTATTAACATCAATTTGATGTATATGCCAATGATGAGACAAGGCAATGCTTAGGACAATCCTAATAGTGACTGGCCGAATGACAGGACTGAAGGTCTCATGGAAATCTTAACCTTCCTGTTGATGAAAGCCTTTAGCTACCAAGCAGGCTTTGAACTTGTTAGAAGAAGTAACAGGATTAACTTTAGTTCTAAAGACCCACTTACAACCAATATCTTGTCTTCCAGGTGGGAGGGGTATAAGGGACCAAGTTTGATTGTTCAGTAGTGCAGTAAACTCCTCCTTCATGGCAACTAACCAATGAGGAGAGTTAAGAGCTTCTGTAACAGTAGAGGGTTCAAACTGAGTGGCAGCAACAAAGGTTTTAGGTTTTAAATGTCCAGTTTTCAATCTGGTTATCATGGGATGAGTAGGTTTAGGAATAGGAGGGTCAGCAAATAAGAAAGGTAGAGATATCGGTTTAGACGGAGATGAGTGCTATGGAGAAGGATGGGTATGTGGTGAAGAAGACTGTGTAGAAGAATTCTGCAAGGATGAAGAAGGTGATGGTGGTGTGGATGAAAAAGAGAAGGTGGATAATAAAGGTGGGATGGCAAAAATAGTAGTAGAGGGAGGTTTGAGTGTGGAGACAGAGGTAGAGGTAGGAAATAGTAGAGGATAGGGAAAGGAGGATTCATTAAAGATCACATCTCTCACAATGTAGATTCAGCCAAAAGAGGATAGACACTTGTATCCTTTGTGCATGGGACTAGGTCCAAGGAAAACACATTCTGTAGATTTGTAGTCAAACTTATGAATGTTATAGGGTCTAGTCAGACGAAAAGATGAGCAACTGAAGGTTCTAATTCTACTATAGTCTGGACTTTTACCGGTGTTTTGCCTTGCAGTACTGAGGAAGGAAGGACATTAATTAGTGAGACTCCCATAGAGAATGCATCAGACCAGTATGACAGAGGTAACACTGCTTGAGCTAGAAGAGTAAGTCCAATCTCAGTGATGTGGCGATGTGTGCGTTCTGCTACCCCATTCTACTCATGAACATGGGGACAGCTTTGTCCATGGATAATACCTTAATTAGCAAGAAATTTAGTGAACTTATGATATTCTCCACCACCATCAGACTGAACCATTTTAAGCTTAGCGCTATATTGAGTGGAAATAAGTGCAAGAAATTGCTGGAAAACATCAAATGCTTCAAATTTGGATTTCAAAAAATAAATCCAGGTGTATCGAGTACATGCATCAGTGAAGTAAATGTAATCTTTATATCTTTCTCTAGTTTGAATAGGGGATGGTCCCCAAACATCAGAATAGACCAGATCAGAAGGAGCAGCATACATGGAATCAGATTTAGAGAAAGGTTGTTTATGTGACTTGCCAAGTATACAAGCCTTGCAGAAATCAACAGCTGAATTTTTATTGAAAGAAACATTACAATGTTTCATAACAGTAGCAACAATGCTAGAGGACGTATGTCCAAGTCTATTATGCTAAAGAAGAAATTGATTACAAGTAGAATCAGTATTGCAACTTGTATCAGATATAACAGCAAAGAAACATGCTTCAGAAGGCATTAAGATTTTGAGATCCAACACAGGATACATGCCATTCTTCACATCACACTGATAGAGTATTTGTCTATTTCCTAGATCCCTGCCCTGACACTAGTGTTCATCAAATTCAACCAAAACTTTATTATCATAGCAAAACTTGTAAACAGAAATCAGGTTCTTAACAATGCACGGCACATGGAGTATATTTTTCAACTTAAGAGAAGAGGAATTGTTTTTAATGACAGATGAACCAATAGATTTGATAGTCAAACCTACGCCATCGCCTACATAGACTTGTTCTGATCCTTTGTAGTTTGAGGATTCAGCAAGATTGGTAGCATCATGTGTGAAATGGCTCATAGCGCCAGAATCAAAATACCAGGATGGATCAGCAACCATGTCAAAAGTTGCAAGGAGAGTAGATTGATTAGCAGAGACCACAGGAGAAGAGGAAGTTGTTTCAGAAAGAGAAAGGCCTTGAAAGGATTCATCAAACCTATGCCAACAAGTAGAAACGATGTGTCTTATTTTACTGCAGAGTTGACAGGCAACCTTAGGATGGGCAGAGTTTGTGTTGCCGTTATTACCGCGACCAAATTATCAGCCACCACGTCTTCTGCGATTACGACCTCCTTTATTATTCTGAGGCGGACGTGTTTGAGCAACATTAGCAACAATCTGAGGTATTGCAGAGGTAACCAGAACAGACCGGCGAGTCTTCTCAATGCGAGCCTCTTGCGCCATAAGAAGCACTTCAATCTCAACAACAGTATAGGGCTCAAGCCTGATAAAGACAGAGGTTATGAAGGGATCATAGTCTTCAGAGAGACCATCAAAGATGAACTTTAGTTGATTAGAAATCGAAACCGGCGAGCCAATAGCAGCTAGTGCATCAATGCTAGCTTTGATCTTGAGAAGATATTCATTCATATATGAATTCTCCTTTTTGGTATTCTTTAGCATCATCTTCAATTGCTTCACCTTAGCCTTGGTTTGCAAAGCAAAGAAAATGTTGATTCGGTCCCAAATTTGGGTCGTAGTTTCACATCCGATGGTACGAGTAAGAACAGAGTCAGACATAGAGGAGAGAAGCTAGGACATGAGAAGCTGATCCTGACGTATCCACTTGGTATATGCCGGAGTGAGAGCAACTCTCTGATCATCATGGAACTCAAATTGATCTGGTGGATTAACCGAGGAATCAAGAAACGATTCAAGTGCATATCCTTTTACCGTACTGAGGACTTGCTGTCGCCAAATCAAGAAGTTCAAATCATCTAATTTGACAAAGATAGAGTGGGAGAAGGCTACAACGAAGTCAGAAGATGGGATAAGCAGAAGAGAAGAGGGCGAGGCCATGGAAGGTTTAGAGGCTCTAGATACCATATGAATAAATTGATGTGGAGTGAATGAATCGATTATTATTAAGAAATAAGCTTACAGTATATATATAGCCAGTCAAGGCATACACGTGGCTTTCTATTGTAAAGCTGATGGCTATAACCAACTCTAACAGTGACGGCTAAGCTAACACACTTGACAGCTAATATACAATTAGTTCTAACACAAACGTTGTCTCTTTTAGAAGAAAACACAAAAAAAAAAAAAAGATTTGAGCATTATCAAATCGAATTGAAAGTGCTTCTCTCATAGGGATTTTCTACATTCATCAGATCTTATCAAGTGGCCAAAACCCCTTCTACCTGGTTAACACTTCTAGCAAAAAAACTCTATATATATATGCTCAACAAAGGTAGCACTTCAAAAGCCCTATATCTTTGTTTGCCCCATCGTAGGAGTAGCAGGAGAAAAAACATATCATTTTAATTGATGGCTTGATGTGGTTCTAATATTCTTTTTGCATTCTGCCTAATAATTGGTTATCAGTAATTACATAGCATGAAATATATAACCTCAAACAACGTAAATCTTATATATATTTAGTATTATCTCAATTTATTCCACCACTAAGTCTAATTTGAAGGTACCCATCCGAAAAGAAGAAATCATAGAACAAAATGGAAATATTAAAGAAGAGTATATTACAAAATTAGCTAAAGCTAAGCTAGAGCTAGGTTGAAGCTGGATTATCACTGCTTGTAACTTGCATCCAGTTTTGAATAGCCTGAGATACATGTCGTTGTACCACTTGTGCATCCATATGGTTAGCTTCTTCATCATTATCCTCCTGAAATAAACATCATATATATAGTGTGATTGGCTCCACACAACAGTTAAAAGCACTGGTGATTATACGGCATCTAGTGTTTGTCTTATAGAATTATAACTAAATAATGCATGTGAGTCCTTTCTGTTTGTGGTTTAAGTCTATTTAAAATATAAATAGTTCATATGCAAATTTGCTTCAAAAGTTTCTGCTCAAAACTAATTTTGTTCTGACAGTTTTTTCGCATTCAAGAGTGCCCTATCCCAAAAATGTTAAAATTAACTGATGCTACCCGTTACCGTTAAAAATATTAATAGTCAGTGTCAATATTTTAATAGTTAAAATTAGTTTTTTAATAAAGTGGGGCAACATTGCAGCATTTTAAAACTTCAGAGCGGTATTGAAGCCAAAAAAAGCTTTTGAGGCAATATTTGTACGTCCTGAACGAAAACTTTCTGAGAAAATTTGCACATTCAAATATAAATGAATTGTTTTTAGCAATTAAGGTGATTATTATAATTACTTTGGCTCCAACTGCTTCTAAACAAAAGCCATCCACGCAATTAACCCTAGCTGACAGAACATCGAGGCCCAGTTCTTCAAAAGCTTCCAATATGAAAGCCAGCAACCCATGGCAGCTCCTTCGACTCGAAATTCTGGTCAGAAAACCCTTCTCTTGTTCTTCGACTTTAAGCTTCAGCACAAACAATAATTTATAATAGCAATAAGATATATTTCAGATTAAACACCATCTGGGGAAAATTATTTGAAGTAAAATGATGTAGCTTAATTTCTATACCATAGGTATTGAATCGTATTCAATCAAGTTAAGGGATCCCGCAAGTACTGCTTGATCAATGTTTTCCAACTTTCTCTTTAACTCTTGAATGTAATGAGAAGCATCCAATAACACTGAGGTTTCATGATGCTGCATAAACCAGAAAATAGTTTCATATCTAATTACAATCAACAGAAAGTACTTAATTGGATGAGAGACAGAGAAATGCGATAACTATAATGGAAATGACAGAAAACTAGTAGGAAAATAGAGAAGAAACAAATTCAGAGTGATCACCGAATGGGACTTGGTAATTGAACGGAGAAGTCGGAGGTTTTTACACATGTCTGTTCTCTTGTGACACTTATTGGGTACCATACTCTCTCTCTCTCCCCCTGTCTCTCTCTCTCTATGTATATCCAGAGAGCTACAAAATGGATGAGAGTAGTTGGTGGTTTTATAAAGAGGATAGGGATGAGGATGAAGTACACAGATATTTGTTGGTCACTTATCACATGTGTTACGGTTTTGGTCTTTTGGAATTATCACACACGTTTTTAACTTCAAGCCAAGTCTTGGGAATTTTTCCCACTAGGCGTTATTCTTCGTATTTTGACCGGTTGTCAAAAACTAGGTCAAGTTAATTGCATTCTTGATATGTAAGCTAAGTGGGTCCCAATATATGAGGAGTTATAATTCCCAAACAAGCTTAAAGATATCTAAAATTTAAAACGTGATTATCATCTGTGGTTTTATTCAAATAATCACTTTTTTTGAGCGAAAATCCATTTTTAAAGGCAATAGAAATACCCAAATTTAAAATAATCAAGCCTCTAAATTTAATAAATTTATAATCAAGTCTTTTACTCAGATCAAAATGGGATTTTATAATATTGGGTATTTTACCATGTTGCCCCCCTTTTTTCACAAAGCCGCCTCTTTTTTCCCTCCAAAGTCACCCCACCCGCAGCCGGAACTTCAGCCAAGCTCCATGAAATTTGACAACTTTATTCTAAAAGTTTTGTTATGAATAGCTACTAAAAACTTGTGAATTGTTAGATTAGACTTGTTAATTTCTAAACCAGTCTTGTGACTGAATCACAAGACACGCTTAGAAATTAATAAGCTTGATTTAGCATTCACGAAACCCATTAACTATTCACAACAACATTTTTGGAATAAATTTGCACTTTTCAATAAACCTTTTTTGTTACGAAATCACAAGACAATTTTAAAAACTAACGATTTTAATTTAGCAATTAACAAGCATGAGCTATTCAAAAAAAACCTTCTCCAATAAAGTTTCATTCTTCAATTAGCATATATTGTTATTCAATCACAAAATATGTTTAGAAATTAACAAGTCCAATTTAACAATTCAGTCCTAATTAGCTATTTAAATCAAAACTCTTACAATAAAACTAGTGCCTTTGCTAGAGCTCCTGCCAGGGGATGGCAGCCAGTGGCTGGCAAAGGTGGCTGTGGAAATTTTAAAAAGAAGAAAAGAAAAAAAAAACAAAAAAGAGGTGGCTTTGAAAAAAAGAGGGGCATAGTGGCATGTTACCCAACATTTTGAAATCTTTTTTTTAGGGGTGATGATACAAACCAACCTGTCATAAGCGGTGGGGATTGAAAAAATCCTGTGTAAAAGCTAACCCTAACCAACCAACTATTTTTTTAAAAATATTTTTTGTTGTACAATATAAACAAAATATAATGAAATTTTTCTTCAAATACTTGACTGAAAGCACCAAATAAAAAATATAGGTGTTTTTTTTTTAAATCTTAAGATAGGATATCAAATATAATAATATACTTATAATAATTAATACAATGAAAAATAAAACAACAAAAAATATGACTTAACCCATGGGTTGGCAGGTTAACACACGCACAGGTTGTGGGTTAGGTAGAGGCTAAAAAATTTCGTTGGCTAGCAGGTTGGCTTTTAGCTAACTCTAACCTGTCATTTTTTGTGAATTGGCTGGTTGGACTTGTGAGTCAAATTCATATTATCAACTCTACTTATTTTGATCCAAAGGCCTCATTAGGGATTTGTTGAATTGAGATGTCTAATTTTGGATTTGGGTATTTCAACTATCTTTAAAATGGAATTTTCCTTTTTCTTTTGGAAGCCCGGGGGAATTTATTAAATGTCCAAACAAGTATTTACCTGCTGTTCTATCTAATTAAATTACAGGCTGAACACAATAAGTTGAGAACAATTTCCCGATCCGGAGATTTCATTATTGCCCATTGCCCGGGTGATTTTATCAAGCACTCTTGCGCCCTAACACGTTATTGATTCTCTAATGAAAATTCCTTATTGCGCATAGCTTTCTCTCGTGCAAATATTATGTTTTTTTTTCAAATTTATTTATTTGATTAGTTAGTGTTGAATATTATAAGAGGGCAAGAAAACCACTTGGATTAATAATTAAATCCAGCAGTTCACCTCTTGTTGGCATCCAGAAATAGACAATGTGCTATAGCTGGTGTTGGTGTCATATATGTCCTTGAAAATAAGCCGTAGGTGTGTCATACACATTATATTACAGAAACAATAGTGAAATTTATACGTACTTTAAACAAGGTTGTGTTCCAATTGACATAAGAAGAATTCATGTTGGAAGAGTTGTTAATTTTATTGGGATGACAATATTTAAATTTGAATTAGTCAACGTTTACCATATACTCCATTCGGTACCAGTATAAGAAATAAATAACTAATTGGTATATATTAAAAAAAATTAGTTAAAAGTTAATTATTTATTAAAAATGTGTGTTGGTTTTCCTAAAATATCCTCTTCACTCATTTGTATTGAAAATTTGAAGTCACCTCTTTATAGAAACTCCCTTAATATATATAATCAAGATAAATAGTTTTTAAAAAAATATAAATTTGGGAGACAAAGTAAACAACTAAGGTCTTCTATTTAATACCAAAATAAACTCTCTAACTAGTTTGTATATTTAGGATTGGATAGAGTACCAAATAATCATTATGAAAATAAATTCATATAGGATTGCTTCCAAAAGAAAAATACCTATATGTGGGGAAAAAAATCAATATGGATTAAGAAATTTCAATTTATCTTAATTATTCGCATTCATTCAGCTTCGGGTTCCTTCTCAACTTCTCAAGACTTATCCTCACGGGAAAAGAATTCTCTCTCCCCCCACAAACTATTTGTGTTTGGTTTTTCCTATAAGTTTACCAATATACGACACTTTATTTGGTTTATTGTAGGCTGCTAATTAACAAAGACAGTGGCATCTCATTTAAATTCTTTCCAGGTTCATCCTAACCCATACAGTAAAAAGATTTTAGGTCACGTCGTGCTTTCATGTCGTCTCTTTCTACTTGATAGAAGAAATAATTATTCACCAAGAAAAACGAGAGAAATTAAATATTTAAAATGCTTAGGATTAAGCGTAAAAAAGGTACTCCTCCGGTCCTAATTATAAGACCCAATTAACTTATTTGAGAAGATTAAGGAAGTAAGTTAAGTTGGTTATTTATAATAAATAAGTGTTGTTATTCCTAAAATATCCTTGCTAATTAAGTATATTGGCTAAAACTATCATTATTAGAAGGATTATCTTGAAAAAAAATACATAAATTTAAGAGAGAAAATAGATTGGGTCTTATAATTAGGACCAAATAAAAAGTCAAATTGGGTCTTATAATAAGGACCGGAGGAGTAATATACAGTGACCCAGATTATTTAGGCGGCGCGGCGTTACTACGTTGAATCAATAAATGCAGACAGAAAAATGTCAAGGTCTCCCTTGTGAGAGATTAACGGCGAATGACACTTGAATCCCTTATGAAGGAAATATATATTAACATTTCAATCATTAATTTTTAAAAAAAATTGCTAATATAGTATATTATGAGTTAATCCCAAAATAACATTATTTCGATCGAGGGATCAAAATATCAATAATTCTCTTGCAAGTGACGAAAATACCATTCTCCCATATAGATTTGCTTTTTCTTAGCTACGCAAAGCGGACATATCTCTTAGCGGGGATTCAAATTTTAGTTTATCATGTTACAAAAGACTAGCCATTTTTATTAGACTAAACTAGATTAATTTCACTTAGAGTTTGTAGTTTTAACATGTGTGTTTAAGGAAAAAAATCTATATTGCTCAAAAAAGTGAAAGCCTTAGTACATCGAGACTGAGATGATGAGAAATTGAGCAAGTAAATGGGCCAACAAGAGGAGTGGGTTTGCACATATGGCATAATAGTGGGCCAAACACAATTAAAATCAATCAATTCCTCCTTTAAACAAGTAAATGGGTCTAGAAAAACTAATGAGAATTGGTCTAACAAAAAATGCCGGTCACTCATAATGTGAAGAATTTTTTTTTTTTAGAAAAAATTCATTTAATCTTGAGAAAAATTGCATATTATTTTTTATGTTTGTGACGGAATAATTTCTAAGGATAGTGTTCTTGGCTCGACTCAAACCAGATTTTCTGCTGCTGCCAACATTTGTGGTTTTTCAGTGGCTTTCTCGCCTATTCTCTCTTGTGCATCTTTTTTGATCTTGTTTCTTTATTCCTTGCTTTTCTGAGGTTTTAGCCCATAGTTGCCTTTTCTCTTTAAGTCCATAGTTTTAATCTTCCTTTCGGATCATCTATTCACAGCTCGCTTTTAATTTTCCTTGTGGGTAATTGGTTATTGCAATGTGATTACTCCTCTTTTAACATGATGATATGACTAGCTTCCTTTCAAGTGGTATTATGAAAGGATGTGACAAGTTGTTTTAGTGTTAAGTCAATGTCTTTCTATTCCTATTGCCATATTCCTCTTTTGGTTTTCTGATTTGAGAGTGGTCCCTTACCTTTTGTGTGATGTCCACTTGCTTTGCTTACTGTTTTGATTTCTCTTTCCCGCCGTTTAACTGTGAAGTCTTTTGTCTCTTGACGTGCTCTTTAGCTTCTTGGCGTCTTTTGTAAGCCCTACTTTGTTTCTTGACTGTGATTTTGTTGACCCCACCTTGAAGGATGATCTTCAATTTGCCCTACTGGCTAGAATAGTGCAAAACCAAAGAGAAATTTCCTTGAATCTTCTGGTTTTATAAAAGAAGATAGTTGAAGAGAATAATAATGAAGATAATTGGTGCAAATTCTTTTTTTTTAATCGGTAAATACCTGCTTTTTAAGTCACGTGACATTCTAAACATAATGCCATTTGTTTCAGAAAGAATGAAGGTCTCAGTTGCTCCTCCACAAATATTTTATGCGAAAACATGTCCCTTTAACCCAAAGATCTTTCACTTGTTTTTTAATAAGCACGGGATGCTTCTCTTAATAGGTATTTGAATCTTAAATTTATCACGTTGTGAAGATCTAACTCTTTCTATTAAACTCACCCCATTCGTAAAAAATTTTCACTTTATTTAATGATTAATTTTGTCTGTTAGCTAGGGGTGACTTACAATAATTCAACTGAATAGTTTAGGATAACCAATGCTCCTTATGAAATATTTTAAGAGTAAAAAGCATTTTAACCTAAAATTAAAATCCTGAGTCATCAACCCCCATATACTTTTAACAATATTTTTTAATAAAAAGAAATAAAATATTTGGAGACATCAGTCCCCCACACTTGAATATTACCTTCGTCCTCGAACAAAACAAAATCACTTTAAGCTAGCATAAAAAAAAACAGAGAGAGAGAAAAGAAAAGGAATCATGCAAAAAGGCAGTGCTTAAGAAATTGCCCCACAAAGTTTTCCCTTGCAAGCAGATAAGTGTGTGTTTGTGTAATGAATTGGAAGACACACGTACCTAAAAGAACAAATGCAAATGATCAGCAAACTAAGGTTACTTTAATCTGATATGTGGAATTTTGTAGCAATTAGTTCTCCGTTTAATATTTCAATTTAGTTTTTTAATTCCTAAACTTCGTATTTTGCGTTGCTTAAGAGCGACACTACTTGATCACTAGTGTGTCATTGGGAATTTTAGGATTTTTTTTTTCTGCTTTTAATTTTTTCTCAGAATAATTTTATAAAAAAAATTTAGAATAAATTTGGAAAAAAATAAATATGTGGATAATTATTTTAAAAAATTACGTTTGAAACAAAAATTTTGTTGCAATTTAACAAAAATTAGTGACAAAATTTACCGTAGCTAATTTCTATCGTTAAATTGTCTGCGATCAATGAAGTGGCAATGGCCAGCAGTAAAATATATGGCAGGCGGTAGCAGTATTCAGTGGCAAGTGGTGACCGTCATGAGCACGACCCATGGCGGCCATGAAGTGAGTATAGAAGAAAAGGTTTTCCAAATTTTCAAAACTAAAAAAAACAAAATACAAAATCAATAAAATATCTAAAAATTATTTTATTTTTTATTTTTTAAAAATATATTAGTTTTTTCTTAAAACTAAGTTATTAAAATATTTTGTTTTCAAGATGAACAAACAAACAATGCCCTAATTTTTCTACAAGTCACAAAACCTACAAACTAAATTATAGAAAACGCGTTATAGCAACCCCAACAAAACTCAAACCCTTAGCTTGATTAAGGCTCCAATTAGCCCGCTTTCCCTCATAAATTCCTTTCTTTGGATGTTTGCTGAATGAAAAAATTGCCAACTAGGTTTCAATTTGGGTATTGTTAGTGACGGCGTATTTATGTTATCTATAGTCACTTCATTTCCTTCCTTTTCATTATTGATTGATTCATATTAAACTTATAATTGAAAAATAAATAACTACATAAAAGTCGTAATTGATTTCTTTCCACCTACCAAACACTTTTTCTTTTCTTATTTTTTTTTCTTACCTAAAATTAACCACTACATGGAAATGCTCCATCCTACCTAACATGACATTAATAAAACTAACAAAAGAAAACTAATGGCAAAATATCGTCTCTCTTTAGGTAATTTTTATTTTATTAGAAAAAAAATTGTAACATAAAAATTATCCTCTCGTTATAACAAGCTTTAAATTATATACACAATTTTAATTTTAATAAATCATAGCAATTCCTATATTCCCTTTTAGCCGAATTAATTGGCCTGGTTACCGGTGATTAGATGGCATCAAACACATTGGAGTTCAACTAGAAAAAGAAAGAGTAAAACACACCAATCATCCTTCTATTTTACCTTAATGACAGAAACATTTCCTCTATTTCGAAAATGTATATAAGTCTCTTTTAAAATTAAAATGTGTACTACACAAACCTCCCTCTTATATTTAAGATTCTATTTTTTATCTACCTAAACCATTAGTTGATTGTTAGATTTGACTTTAAATTATTTTTTAACCAAAATGCCCTTTTTAAATTAATAATTATGTAGATATTTATATTTTCCAAAAAATATATTTTATGAAATCAAAAAATAATTGTAATACATATATTTTTAAAATTTCTAATATGTTCTAAAATTTATTAATTTTGATGCAAATCATAAAATTTTATAATTTTAATATTTTATCACATTCATTGGAAATTATTTACTTTGGTTTCTTTTAAATTGTAAAAACATATTTCAAATACATTGTTTTTGTTTATAGTAAAGTTTAAATAATATAAGTTTGAAAGATTTTATAAATTATTTAAATTTCTAGTTCAAATATTTTAAACACATCTTCGTTACAAAAATTTATAAACATATTTAGCCAAGTATATATACTTATATTGACAAAATTAGTTAAATTTTTAATCAAGTCTTTTATGTTTGTGTTAACTGAATGAAATTTGTGTAACTGTAAAAATATAATTTAGGAATTTATTAGAATGAGAAGTAAAATAGTAAATAAAATTTATTTTAATATAAATTCAGTTAAAAATATTATTTTTAGAATTTTTTTAGAATATTCCTGATGGTGTTAATTAATTGAACTAAATTATATGTTTTTATCCGTGTAACTATGCAAACTGTAAGAATAGTTAGAGTATTTTACTTAAAAAGAAAACTCTATTTCATGAATAGAGACGATCGAAAGGCTAAATAATTCTACAACTTAATTACTTGAAATATTGGGCTATGTATAAAAATGGAAAACGATTGTTGTCGACTGAAACGAGGAAATTATATTGCGAAATGGAAATTAGATTACAAAATTAATTATCACAAGCTAGGACTATAGTGATCTAGCTAGAAGATAGATCATTGGTTGGTAAGTTGCCTCCAGTTCTGAATAGCCTGGAACAGAGTTTGTTGAACCACTTGTGCATCCATATAATCATTATCCTCCTGAAACAGATATTATAAATATCTACGCTTTCAATGGCTCCGCGCAACAGTTAAAAGGACTCATAATATAAAGGCAAAAGTAATCACAAGGTTCTGTTTTAGATTCTTAATTCTATAAAAAAAATTTAAATGTTGAAAAAATATCCTTAAATACAATTCTATTGAGTATTATATTGAAAATAACAACGATTGTTACAAAAATTAAAAAATATCTTGAGATTAAAAATATTAGAGTTCAATGACTTCAAAAAAAAAAACTTCATGAAATTATAGGACCACACTGAATTTTGATATAACGTTAGAGGACTGAAGATTTAATTTTTGCATATATAAACCGAGAATTATTGTGAGATGTCAGAAAAAAAAGATAATTACTAAAAAGATCTAATGACAAATAAACAGTTAAAAACTATTATTATTTCCTGATTGAAACTTGTTATCACAAGTTGTTCAGTTATTATGAAATTTTTTTGTGAATACGTTTTTTTTTAAAACCTTATTGCAATTCGTCCAAATAAAAATGAATTTTAATAGTTGAAATGATTATTACTTGGACTCCGAGTGCTTCCAAGCAAAAGCCATCCACACAATTAACCCTAGCGGACAGAATATCCAGGCCCAGTTCTTCAAAAGCTTCCAATATGAAAGTTAGCAATCCATGGCAACTCCTTTGGCTCAACACTCTAATCAGAAAACCCCTCTCCCCTTCTTCAACTGTAAGCTGCAGAACAAACAATAATAGCTAACTTTAAGATTTAAGATCAAACATTATATATTTAATTTGCAGTATTTTAAAACTCTTAAGGGAATGAAATTTTCTAGCTTGATCTACCACAGGCATTGGATCGTAATCAATTATGTCATGTTCTTTAGCGACTACTGCTTGACACAGTTTTTCCAGCCTCCTCTTTAACCCTTCCAATAATTCTGAATCTCTCTGACGCTGCAAAGAGTAACAAATATTAATTATTATGATTGTGATGAAAGACGAAGCATTAGATAAGAGCCAGAGAAGATGATACAGCTTTGATCATCATAATGACATAAAATAGAAGGAGAAGAGAAAAGAGATCAGGAAGAAACCAGTTTTTTGAGTAATTACCGCATGGGATTTGGTGATTGAACGAAGAAGTCGTAGGTTTCTGCACATGGCTGTTCTCTTGTGCCCCTTCGAAACCATTCTCTCTCTCTCTCTCTCTCTCTCTCTAGAATAGGTATTGAAACAAAACAGCTTTGGAAACGTTAGACAAAGTTGGTGGCTTTTTAAAGAGAGTGATGATTTGGGAATGGAGAGAGATTTTTTTTGATCAAGTCTCACATGTGTTACAGTTTTTGGAATTATCATTTGACCAACTACTGTTTAATTTTGTCCAGCTAATTGCACTCATTATATGTAAGTACTATTTTCAGCCGCTTTCTAAAAAGTTCGACGATCCGTGGTTTAAATTTACGACGTCATCAACAACCTTAACTTTTTACTGGAAATATCACCCTTTTCACCCCTACCTCTCTAATTAAATCAAAAGTAGAAAAATCAAATTCACTGATGTCGCATTCAGGGGCTGTTTGGAGACTCCAAAAATCATTTAAAAAAATATTTTCACGTTAGTGGAGATAAAATTCTAAAATGCTAATCCAAACACCTCCTCAATCTTTTAAAACGAGGGCAACAAAACATTTAATATTTGTTCTGTTCTTTATTATAAGATTTAAATTTTTGAATTAGTCTTATAATGTTAACTTTAGATCTATCTGAACATTAAATATAATTTTACCTATTTCACCCTTAATCAATATACTTATCATTATCTTTTACTCTCTATGCATTATCTCTTATCTTTTTTATCACTCTCCCTACCCATTTATAAAATGGGCAAATTTTGGGGAGTACATTTCTTCCATATTTATTACTTTTAACTAATTTTAATATTTTTTTAAATCATAAAACTTGGCCATTCGAATCTTATAATGATGAATGAAAGAGGAAATCTATTTCTCCTCTGATAGTAACAAAAGAAACATAAATATGTACATGCTTATACAATATTTATAATAATCATTTTTTGCCTTTAATTATCTCTTCTTTTTGTAGTTTATTGACTTGCATGAAATATATGAATTGTGCATAAAATTCCTTTCATATCAATTTATTCTCAAGCATTTTGGCAAAATGATGCGCGTACATTTTTATAAGCCATTATTGATTCTCTGAGAACAAGTTCTCTCTTGATTTCACATAGCTCTATTTTGTATAAATAATATGTTTTTTTTAATGGGTTAGTTTCGAATATAAGATGGTGATCTGAGAACTAGTTAGATTAAACCATTAAACAAAATCATACAATAATATGAAGACACAGAGCCTTCATCGCATTCTAAAGCACATATTAGGTGCTAGCTGGGTATCTAGTGTCACGTTGCTCAAACTAAATCATGGCATGTATATGGATTAATTAAATTCAAAAGACAATACTTAAGTTATAATTTTCTTTTGTGAAAGAAAATTCAAGTGTGTTGATCGGGTTGCTACTCCATCTTCACCTAACCAATGCTTATAAAAATACTTATAAATTACTCATCAACGAAATCCTCATACTAGAAATAAGATCCAGAGCAATGCTTTTATGTGACTCGAATAACCATCTTTACTGATTAAACCAATATTTATAGACGTGTTATAAGTTACTATCTCTAGATCTAAATATAAGAGTTAGATAAGGGATTTGTTTTATTTCTAAGTATAAGACTTCAATCCATTTTGGTTTTTAGATTAACTTATATTTTCTTCAAAATATCCCCATTATTAATTACACAAATTAAGATAATTGTAGTTTTAATGCACATGATTAGATATGATAGTTCAAAAATTCAAGACACATTTGTTACCAGTATAACTAATTTCACTAGTTTTTTAATACTATTCGCAAAATTGATTATCCTACTCTCATATTAAGGATCAGAATTATTAAATTAATTTTTCATGACCAATTAAACGTTCTATTTTCATAAATCTAAAAGAATAAGACAATTGGACAAGATGACCATCTAAGATCTTAAATGGAACCAGACTACAATTTCTTGGACTAGGGAATCTAGACAGGTAAAGCCGAGTGTCAAAAACATGTTACAGCTTCGGGTTCCTTCGTTAAATAACTCCAAATTTTTCCTCACGGGAAATGGATTCTCTCTCTCCAAACTATTAGGGTTTTTGGAATTTTTACCGATAAAATTAAGCTTTGTCTGGCAAAACAAATAAAATTAAGAAGCGTTGTTTCTATTATAGGATGCTTGGCAAAAAACGATGCAACTTGTTAAATTCTTTCCAAGTTCCTCCAAAACTCGTAAAGCAAAATGATTTCAGGTCATGTCGTGTTCTTCTGTCGTTTCCTTTCTGTTTGCTTGGAGAAATAATTAAGATGCTTAAATTAAAAAAGATAACAAAGGAATTACGGTGACACAGAATATTAGGTGGCATTTTTTTTTGGTTAAAATAAGATTAGAGTTATTAAGATCCTTGATTTCTTAATACATACAGGGCTTTACTCTGTTGAGAAACCTTCAATGTTTCTTCTTCTTTTTTTCAAATTTTCCTGACATGTAAATTATTATAATCTAGGGCTAGATCATTGGTGGGGAGAGTAAGAATTCGAGTAATCTTGGTAGAAATTATTTTCATTAAATTGCAAAAAAATGTTGTATAAAATAATTGTTGCTTAGAAAATTAACGTGGAGAAATATGCATCAACACTTTTAATAACATGAATTAATATTTGTTGAGTCCATTTACCAGCTGTGATGTATGAATGATGAGGATTTCTTAAATTATTATTGAAGTGAAGATGATGCCGTATCAAGGAAGGAAAACTCTCACCAAAAAAAAGTTTGCAATTACTAAATCTCATATTAAGTTTGGCAACAACACTTTAATATATTTTGACAACATTGGTTGGAAATAACAACGCATTTTTATAGAAATTATTTATTTGAGATTTAATAATGTCGAACTTTTTTGTGGGATTCTCCCAATTATGAAATTACTGCTATAATTTGATTTTTTCACACAATGCAATATTACGTAATTATATCTTTTTAAAAAAAATTTTATAACACTTTTAAAAATTCTTCCAGATATCATAAATTTAATTTTTCTTTTTTAAAACCATCATACTGTAAATTTATTAGAAAACTTGATAAAAGTAATTAATTCCCATTAAACATAATCATAATCCTAACTGGAATTACCCCAGCACAGAAGTCAAAAAAAGCACAAAATCATAGCAAACAGTAAAAGAACTATATAACTTTAATCAATAATCTATATCTATGGTAATGATTGTAGCCCTTACTTACCTAGTCCTGTTCTTCCTATTGGACATTGATATATATTATGCAAGGATCAGCATCAGGAAAAGGTGAGTCTTTGCAATTATGAAGTTACTAAAAATAATTAAGTTGATTTGTTTACGAAACCGAACATTAAGATTCAGCCTTTTTATTTAAATAATTATGAAGTGTCAATTCCCTCGTAATTAAAGATGCAAAACAAGGCAATACATAAACTGGAATCGTTGGATGATTTTAATTACGAGGGGAAATGACACTCTTGGACTAAACAAATCTGGTAAAGCCAGGTAATTCTATCATAGCTCTAAATGCCATAATGATCAATGATAATACTTGGATCGTTGACTCAGGAGCTATAGATAATATAACTGGTAACAAATGTTTATTCAAAACTTTAAAGTATTGTCACAACGAGAACCTAAAGGTGAAAGTTGCTAATGGAATCTTCTCCAAAGTCTGTGGTGTTGGAACTGTCAAAATCTTTGAAAACTTAGAACTGCATAATGTTTTATTTGTTCCAAAAATTGCATGTAATTTGCTATCAATAAGCAAACCAAAAGTCACCAGTGTAGAGTGTCCTTTGATGATGCTGGTTGTGCTTTTTAGGATTTGACAGCGAAGAGGAGGATTGGCGTTGCTAAGGAATGGGACGGACTCTATTACCTTGAAGGCACAGATAAACATGTGAGCAAGGCATTATTTAGTTAAGATTCTTTGAATAAAGATGTATTACTGTGGCACTCTAGACTAGGCCATCCCAATTTTGATTATATAAAGCACTTGTTTCTAAACTTATTTAATAAGAACTCAGCTCTTTTTTTGTGTGAAACCTGTCAACTTACCAAACAGATAAGAACCTCCTATTCTAAACTATTTTATAAACCAACAGCACCATTCACCCTAATACATAGTGACATTTAGGGACCCACGAGAATTAAATCAACCTCTGGTGCTAGGTGATTTGTGACTTTTATTGATGACCACACTCGAGTGACTTGGGTATACTTGATGAAAGAAAAATCCAAAATTTTTAGAGTTTTCAAAAGTTTCCACACATTTATAAAAACTCAATTTCAAGGGGTAATTAGAATATTATGAAGTGACAATGGACAAGAATACCTTAGTACGGCCTGTAAGGAATTCCTTGATTAGCAAGGAATCTAGCATCAAACCTCGTGTGCTTACACACCTTAACAAAATGGAATTACTGAAAGAAAAAACCGATACCTCCTGGAAGTAGCTTGAGCCATTATGATTGCCCAAAATGTTCCAAACTCATTTTAGGGAGAAGTTGTTCTCACGGTAACCTACCTGATCAATAAAATGCCCTCAAAAGTCCTAAACTACCAAACCCCTATATAAAAATTGCTTGAAACCTATCCTAGTTCACCCTTAGTCTCAGACATTCCCTTCAGAGTGTTTGGATGCATGGTATACATACACCATAATGATGGTAACAAGCTTGAGTCACGAGCATTAAAATGTATCTTTCTTGGTTACTCCCCTTCTTAAAAAGGATACTAGTGTTATTGCCTGACAACAAAAAGGGTTTATGTTACTAAAGATGGTGTTTTTTCTGAGGACGACACCTATTATCCCAAACTACCCATTCAGGGGGCGAATTATGACATTAAAGAATGGCTAACTCTAGATTCCACTACGAAACCAATGCAAATAGAACCTACAACACACCAAGACATTGACATCCCTACTAGTTCACCTATTGTCCCTGAACCAATCAACAACTTTGGTAACCCTGAATCAACAACCCCACAACACCAAAACTCCTAACCTAACCACATCGACTTGGGAAACAGTGCGAAAACTGAATAGAGATGGACCAACAGGAAAGCGCTGAGTCAGATGATGAAGACGAGCAACAAGAAAC